CACATCTAACTTTCTCATTTCTGTTTATGCACCAGTTCTAACATATGTTAAAATCATTGATTTAAAAAGGCGCAGTCTAAGAAGCAAATCAGGTAGGGGAGGACAGGTGCATGATGGGAAGTATTGTACTCAACTGAAGAGAGCAGTAATGTTCAAATGTATAATTGTATATCATTTTAAACCTGTTTTTTTTTTTGTTTTTTTTAAATTTATTTATTACAACCTACTTTTTAATTTTATATATATATATTTATTGCTGTTTTCTTTTTCTTTTTTTTTTTCTTATCATTGTAATGTGTTTTTGTTAAGGTGTCTTATGCACTTCCCTTTCCTTATTTTGTTCTATAACTTCTATTTTCCTTTTTTTTTTTTTTTATTTCTTCTGTAATTTAAACATTTTACTTTTGTGAAATCCTTTCCATGGGTTTCATTGGTACGCAATGTTGTGGACCACTGCTTGTTGTTGCGATACAGAAAAGCCTGTGTCTATTTTAGGCATTTACTGTACATTTGAACTGTGAAAAGCGCGAGATTGTGTCATCTCATGCTCGCCTCCTGCAGGTCTCGTCCTGCTGAGATATGGACTAAGTTAAGCCTCGTGAGTACTTGACCCCTCCTTCTCTCTGCAGCCAAAAGAGTAAGAACCGCACATTGGAATTGTAATTACCTTTTTAGGGAGCAATCAAGAGAAGTATTTGCTTTTACTTTTAATATGTTAAATACCGTTATCACTTTCCTTAGTTAAAATATACAGACTTAAGTAATCACTGAAATCTATTTGCACAAAACTGTGTGTGTGTGTGTTTAATGTTAAGTTCCATCAATTTCTCATGGCATGCATCTAATGTGTTGTGAAGCTACTGTACTTTGTCATTAGAACTGTAAGCTCCATTTTTTTTTTTTTTTTTTTTTTAGTTATACAGTGTGTTCTATCGTGTACATTTATGGAACTGCAATTCAACTTTCATAAACCTTTGGTACTTCCATGAACACATTCTAACAGACCACCCCTTTTTTCCCCACTGACATTTCAAATCAAATGTTTTTAAGCCCATGCAGTTAACTGTACACATAAAAATATTTTTAAAGCGCCAATAAAATATATAGTTTTAAAAATTGTGGCAAAGCATTCAAACCTATGTTTAAACTTTCTAACACTTAATAGCAGAGCATTGTACAAACTGTATTAGTATTGACCATCCTGTATTCGTCTCGGCCATGCAATCCATAATAGCGACTAGAACATGCCATGTGAACAGAAAGTCTTTAACATTATGTGAGATATTAAGAAATGGTCTCCCTAAGGCGCATGGACCTTGTTTCCACCAAACCCAAAGAAACTGTCCTAAAAAAAAATCTGATCCTTTTTATTAAGGTTCCAAACAAAAATGTGAAGTTCTGGCCACACAAGGCCTTTATCAAACCATTTTGGGCACATTTGAGTTTGACACCCTAATAAACGGATCACTGTCTCTGAAGGTTAGTGTTGGATATTTAAGTATTAAGGGACAAATGCAGGTGACTTTATGGAATGATCATTGATCCTAAAAAAACAACCCTTTCCTTATTTGAAACTTGCTAAACATCAGCTTTTTTTCCCCACTATAGTATTCTTTAACTTTTCAAACCAGTAGGCTTGGTGGGATCCTAACAGCTTTTATAAAGATAGTGTATTTTACATAGCAGTGTTTATGTAGTCTGCATATTTAAAATATGGCACATCTAGGCACATCATATCTAGACTTTTTTTTCATCTAAGTGAAAATGTAAATAGATTTTGTATACACTGGTAGCATTCAGTTTGAAAACTAGACTTTTGTTCATGTGGTTAATATTTAAGGTTTTTACAAAACACTCAGGAGCTTTCTAACCGTGAATATGCACATATATGTTTAAAGTAAAATGACGCCTTGCTATAATTACAATAAAGCGTTCTGTAACTTTAACTGACATCTACCAGCAATCTGCATATTAATTTTGCTTTTTAATATTTCTCTCATCTATCTACTGTTTACATTATTGTAGAGCATAAAACCTTTATCCTTAGCAGGATGTTTTAATTTACAATTATTTTTATTTTTTTCTTTCATGGTTTTAATGTGCTTCTAATCTAGAGTAATATTTTTTTTTTTATTATTATTTTTTTAACTTTGAATAATACAAGGTGTTGGATAAAAATTATAAGTGTTTAAATCAATTATTTATCATTTGTAGGCCTTACACCTAATTGTTGTTCTGACTAGCATGCATTCAACAAATAGTTTCATCCTCTGATTTAATCAGTGCTTTGATATACTTGGACCAAAAAGAAAAAATATTATTTTTTATTTTATTTTTTGTGTTTTTGATGGGGGTCTTTAATTTAAAAATGGAATCTTTTATATGAGTCCTCAGATTCTCAAGTGTAATATATACGATTTTCTATTTGGCTTTTATCAGTATGTCTCAAGTGCTTTTGTAGCTATTGATAAAATCATTCCGTATCATAGTGAATGTTCTGGAAGGGTAATGTGTATTTTTAACAAGAAAACAATAGCTCTGTACGCTCCACAAACACTAATCACAATGTAGTGGTTTTGGTGCGTATCTTCTGTGCCTTCCTCATGAAGACTTTAAAGGAGCACTCCACACCCATAAAGGACTTCAGAGATAGAAAATGTAGCAGTGCTTCTTAATAGGAAATTGTCTGGGACAGCAAGGCTTTGGAATTTGTTAAACTTGAGCAGAAAACAAAAAAGTAAAAAAAATAGGTTACTCTTATATCCTACAAGTGTTTGACCAGGAAGCTCCATGAAAAGCGCTGTTGCTGATCCAAACACAAACCTGAAACTGAAAAATATAGTGGGTGGGGAAGAAAATAACTCTAGGAAAATTGTACGTGTTGTGCTTCCCTAGCAGTTTGGAAAGTTTCCCTGGTGTGAGGATCAAAACACATTCCATTAAAATAATAGTAACCCAAAAATGCTAAAATACTCCATTCTAAATGTTCTACAGTATTGTCAGACATTATAAAACACCACTTCTACGATGTTTGTTTTGGTTTTTATTGCTTTTTGTAAAAAAAAAATAAAACCCTGAATTTATTTGAGCAGTCATAGCAAGCAAGAGTAACACCTTTATGAAATTCTGAGGTGGTGTTAGATCACCACAGCTCTTCAAACTATGTAATTGTGCAATGTCTTAAATTCTTAGAAATATTAGCTTGTAAAAAAAACTCACAGGGGGTTTCCTTGTATTGGTTGGACACACTCACTCTTTTCTTTAGTTTCAGAATGTAAATGAAATTGCTAATAAGGTTTTATAAAATATATTAGAATCCCACTAACCTTCTGAGTTTCCATTGCCTCAAGTGGCTATCATCTTTCTAATTTTTCTGTGATCTTGCCAGCGATTGGAAAAATTATTCCACATGGGCTAAAGCATCTGATTTGCTATGCATTTCCATTTTTTTATTCATTTTTTTTTATTTTTTTATTAGTTTTATATTTTGAGTGAATGAATGGCATCATACATTTCTCACAAATTTAGGACAAAATTATAGATTTGCCTTGATCACTCCATATTTAACTCCACTGCATGGATCATGCCTTATTTTTCTGTAAAACATTTTTGTTTTCTCACAAGCTGTATTCTATAAACTATCTTTATTCTTACTTTATTTAATACTATAGTTGCTGAATCTACCAATGATGGAATTTCTCTGTTCTTGTTTTTTTCGTTGCAAAAGTAAAAATAAATTAAAATTCCAATTTTGTGTGTAATTTTTATAGGTTTCTTGGTTTGTTTTTGTAAGCCTGTAGAGGCAATTTAAACATGATTTTTATTTTAGAACTGTTAAGATTTAAAAAAAAAAAAAAAATACACCATATAGTAAGGTTTTTGTTGTGGGTGTGGAAATATATATAAAGTTTTCTATTTCTGCACATTTAGCATTTTCACTAACCGAATATATAGTTAAATACTATTGCCACAATAACAGATGCAGTGCTACAAATGTTAGAATTATTAAGGACTGCCTACAGTCCTTAAATTTTGTGATGGGGACAAATAGGTAAGAGCAGGTTGAGGTCCACCAGTAGGAGAAATGTAAATTTCCAAGTAAAATTGTAATCTTGCATGCTTTTTATAAGCAGTATCACTTTTTGTAAACCTATGTATCCCCAGTTTGAATACATTGATTTGCCTTATTTCTAAAACCATTCACAACCTGTCATAGTTCAATTTTGTTATATATGTCTGGTATTTATTTTTAAGTAAAGGTCTTTCTAATTCCATTTCTAAATTACTTCTTTAGGTTTCACCGCAATTACAGCCACCAATCCTATTTGGTTAATTAAGACTCGACTGCAGCTTGATGCAAGGTAAAAGTCAGACTGTTTTCCTTCAACTATATTAATATTGTTTCTTTTGAGCATGTCTAATTATGGACTAATAATTGTGTTCATTGTGTTATAGAGCAGCAATGTAATCAAATGTATAATAAACTACCATATTGTATGATTAAAGCTGTGATTGTACTAATTAAAAAAATAAAAATGCAAAGACCTCAACAAGAGTTCTTATTTACGTAATCTCAATTACGTGGTGAGGATGCAGTGGCCCTGTAGCATTAATCTTGCAATGTAAAACATCTATGATGCGCAACACACATGCATATCATCCTCTATAAGAAGCAGGACTGTATTTACCACAAGGCATTGTTTGCCTTGTGTCCTAGGGGGCCCAAGAGTAGGCTGCCACCTTAGGGACCCCCCCTAGGTGTTAAAGTACTAATATTCTTGCCAGGCGATGAGCAAGATATGTCCTTTTAGATCATAATTAAAGATCTTAATTGGTGAGTGTATGAGAAAATATCTGTGTGTGAGAGTATGTTTGTGACTGTCAGTGTGTGTTTGTCAGTCAAAAAAAAAAAAAAGGCCATAACACTAATTGGTGGGGCAAATTAATTTAAGGGGGTGCCGAATTTAGTTGTGCCTAGGGCAGCACAAATCCAGAATACACCACCTATAAGAATTTGAGTGGGCTAGAAAACAGTAGTCAAAACCTCCAAGCATTGCGGGCAGAACCAAGTGAGGCTCAATGCTGTAATGAACCAGGTCAGTGGAACACGCAAAATGGAATTATACATCAGAAACAGATTTTTGCGCATGTGCAAAGAGTTGATGGGAAATGGCAAGATGTGGTGCTAGAAGCTGTATTTTACTTCTCCTTTTGCCAAAACTACGCACTTTCATAAAACTATAAAAGATGGGTTTTATTTTATATTCTCCGATTGTGATGGACTTTCAGTGACATTGCATGCAGTCTTTCTGTTTTTCTGTCTCTGAAATATCTTTCGAATTGACAATGAAATCATGACATTTGTGGGTTTGTTTTTTTTTTTTCTTTAAGTACAAAGGTTGGAAAGCATGGACATCAAGCAGTAACACGTGAGGGAGATGTCCTCTCGTCCTAAATTTACACAGTAGAGTGTGATTACAGTGCTCTCCATACTGTGTGTGCTGGGATATCCATCTGCAGGTGTCCGTAATGATGTCAGCAGAGGGAATCCTTCTGGGTTATGCTTAGTGTAGTGTAGGGGTTCATGAAGGGCTGTTATACAAATCGATTTTTTTGCTTTTCTTTTTTTTGCACTTGATGTGCAAATATAATTATATAATTCTGTCCTTGAAAAAGCAATATGTAATGAGTGTATGAGTGCTCTTAGAGAGAAACCCTTAACAAAATAAAACCAGACTGGCTTTTGACCAAAACAAAACTTAGAATGTGTGCTGTGTGTTTCACTGTAAATTTTTCCTTTCTACAATGCAATATAACAGCTGCTAAAAATAAATAAATAAAAAGATAACCTTACTCATACTGCAGGCAATTTGTGAAAAAGTGATTTTTATGTAGAGTCTTCTTTGGTTCTTCTTCCTTCTAGAAATCGTGGTGAAAGAAGACTGAGTGCTTTGGAGTGCATTCAAAAAGTATATCAAGTTGATGGCCTTAAGGGTTTTTACAGGGGAATGTCTGCCTCTTATGCTGGCATCTCTGAAACTGTCATCCATTTTGTAATTTATGAAAGTATTAAGCGAAAACTGCTGGAACATAAGGTTGCATCAGCCATTGATGATGAGGATGAATCTGTAAAAGAGGCTTCAGACTTTGTTGGACTAATGTTGGCAGCAGCAACTTCCAAAACATGTGCCACCTCCATAGCCTACCCACATGGTAAGAATACCCAGTGCAGAACTTTACATTTATATAAACTGTTGTAATGTTGCCACCTAGTGGTCCCTGTACATTTTACATCTTCATTCTTTATGAACAACAAAGACAAATAATGAGTCTGTTTTCTGTGGAGAGCTGTTTAAACATGTGTGCAGTCAAGATATCTTGGCCCTTTCAACTTAAAAATTGTAAATTAATTTTTTTTTCCATGTAGAATGCTAACCATACTGTTTAACCACTTAAGGACCAAACTTCTGGAATAAAAGGGAATTGTGACATGTCACACATGTCATGTGTCCTTAAGGGGTTAAGCGAACAGTTTACTATTTCACATATGGGCAATAAGTCGTATTTGTTTGAGAAAATACTCATTATGCACATCTTAAGGCATGAGTGGGTTATGTTGAAGCTCTGTAGTGACAAAACACATTTATTTATCTATTTTTGTGCTTGATAACTATCTATATAGCCTGCATCTTTCAAGAATGTGCTGAAAGAAATTCTTCTACATTGAGGTTTAATTACACCTTTAATTTATTCATGTGGAAATGTTTCTTATCAGACTTTAAGGGACTTGATTACGAGATAGTAACTTATCATTTGAGTTGAAAAAGACACAGGGTCATCAACCTTTGACCAATCTCTGTTTCTACAGTTGATCCAAAAAGAGACTTCATTAATGCTGTGATTTTATACAGCAAAGTGACCTTATCAGAATTGATGTTTTAAAACAAAGCATTAAAGTTTTACTGGAAAAAACTTTTCTATTTTTTTTTTTTATTTTGCTACATGCGGATCGTGCTTGCCAATTTCTGCAACTCTGTATAAATAAGCAGATATAGCAGACGTTTAGTTTTATAGATTTGTCCCAATTTTGAATAGTTCATCATCTGTTTGATCTATTAAGCATTATTTTACACTGTTTCAATTAAACTATATTCCAAAGGTAGACTGTGTAAATTTATTTGTGTGTTCTGAATTAAACATTTAATGTTTGAGAGTCCTTTTATCAGTGAAGCATTGCTACATGGACGTAACCATTTTACACAGTGTGTTTGTGGATGCGTTGGATTATCCCAATGCTTATTTGTCTCTAAACAAACCATCGCTAAGTAATATATAATTGTAGCCATGTTGATGGTGACATTCCCATCTGTTGTGAAAATGCTATTTATGGGTATTTTTTTTTTTCCATCTACACCAGGGGATCCCAACCCAGTCCTCTGTACCCCCTACCAGTCCAGGATTTAGGGATTACCCTGTTGTGTTTAAGGTGATTTTTTTTTTATTTTTTGATTTTTTTTTCTCCCTTTCTAAAAACACCTCGGACACAACTGGGTAATCCCTAAATCCTGGACTGTTAGGGGGGTACTTAAGGACTGGGTTGAGAACCACTGATCTACACCAATGCAATATATGTTTTGTTTTACAGATAGTGATGTCACGAACGGTTTGCCGCGGACGGCGAACATATGCGGTAAACTTTGACCCTGTACCTCACAGTCAGCAGACAAATTCCAACCAATCAGCAGCAGACCCTCCCACCTCCTGGACAGCTCACTAAGAATGCAGCTTCACAATGAAGAATGCAGCTTCACAATGAATGTAAAATGGATGCTGTCCAGGAGGTGGGAGGGTCTGGGAGGGAGGGTCTGCTGCTGATTGGCTGGAATGTGTCTGCTGACTGTGAGGTACAGGGTCAAAGTTTACCGCATATGTTCGCCGTCCACAGCGAACCGTTCGGGACATCACTATTTACAGATTTTTAAAAAGCCTAATTTTGTGTTTTAAAAAAAAAAAAAAATTGTAATAATTTTGTGTTGCAGAGGTTGTACGAACGAGGCTACGTGAAGAGGGGACAAAATACCGATCCTTTTTCCAGACATTGTCACTGGTTGTCAAAGAAGAAGGCTATGGATCACTTTATCGTGGCCTAACAACACATCTGGTCAGACAAATCCCTAATACGGCGATAATGATGTCCACTTATGAGGTGGTTGTTTATTTGCTAAGTGGATAGCAGTCTTGAATTTTCTTGTCTGTGAAGAAGATAGGCGACCAAAAGGATTGAATGTGGACCAGACAGCACCAATTCAAAAAATGCTGGTGACCTCAAGAAAAGACTTAAGAGAGAAACCATCACAATGCAGTGCAACAGTAGCTGCTGATTCTTTGAAGGTGGTCAGGAAATCCCAATCCTGCCACTGTTCTCGTGTATGTGGTGTTTGTCCACATGTGAGATGCAACTGAGAGTGTACCAGAATATGGAATGCTTGTAAACCCCATTTATTTAAGAATTGTTTATTCTCTAAAGTTGTTGGATTTTTTTTTCAACTCTGTCGATCTTGGTAGTGTGAAAAATAAGACAAGCATATCAGTCACCTCATTTAGATTTTGGAAATTTATGTAGACACCATTTCTACAGTTTAAGTGTAAATCAGATGGATTTTGTTAAAGGAGCACTTTAAGCACCATGACAGCATGGTACTTTTAGTGCCTCTTTAAGTTTTGCTTTAGAGCTCCCATATTTAGTATGTTAAATTATTTCATAATGGTAATCCAGACCTCTGTAAATTGTTCATTTTCTTTCAATGTGAACCTGCCTGCTATCCAAGATGCAATGCTCCAAAACATGTTGCTGCACAGTTTACATTCTATTGTATGATACCCAGCCCTGTTTTGCCAAAAGAAAACCCATGTAGTTACATATGTCTGGTCTATAATTGAAATAAAATCCTGCTAAAATGTATGACATTGTTTTATAAAAATAGCCTATAAAATGGGCATGTTTTGGATAATAACCTGCAGTCTGTAAAATCGTGACTGTAATCCAAAACGAAATGATGGGGAGGTGTAACTTTTAAAGTGGAGCAATGAACCATTACGTTGCACGGTTTTCATTTGGATTCTTCCATTATAACTTTTCATTATAAATAAGTCAAATGTCTTCTTTCTTACTTTTGTAAGTAGATGAAGAAGAAAAAAAAAACTCAAGCTGTAGTATAAAGCTCAGTTTTCCATGGCTTTCTCTGTATTTCTCATTATACACGCTGTTTACCTGATTAGCAGTGATTTATTTGCAGTTGATCGAATGCAAGGCTTTTTGCACTGCTTTTTAACCCAACACATATGGTTACTGAAGTTTTAATATTACCAGAGCCTTTTGGTGTTAAGATGTCTTGTATTTTGCTGCATTATACGCCCAAGTTCTGAACTGGTTAAATGATTTGTTCGTTTGTTATTCAAATATGTGTCTGGTTGCTCTTTATATTAAATCAATTAGTCCCTTAATAAAAACATACAAAAATAAAGGAAAACCCAAACACTTCTGACTTTGTAGAGGGGTTTACATTTGAGTTTAATTCTGTTTAAGCATTCCTGTGATTGTGGCAAAATGCTGATAAACACAGTTGTATTCTCACTGACCGAATATAGGAGCAGTATCATTACTTTACAGCATCAACCCAAACTTGTTGTAACATAAATGCAAAGTTTGATAATGTATGGAATGCTCATGTACAAAACACTGGTGCTGTGAATGTTCAGTTGTTGGTCACCTTTCTTGTCTGTCTTTATTTAAACTTTGGTTGCTGTGTTGGTACCATCATGGCATTGTCATCAAAACGGACTTGTTGGAAATACTACATAGTAGTATGTAAGGTCAAATCAAAATGTCAGGAAATATGTAGGCTATTTCACATAATTAGCTTGTCTAAACCTAGCAAAATATGCAACTGCTGAAGCAAGACAATAGCGCTTTCTGCAAGATATATAGACCTTTCCGGTAAATTCTTACAGGTAAGAGGCAGAGCCAGATTAACATACGGGCTGATCAAGCTGCAACTCCAGGCCCATGCCCATGGAATAGGCACATTGAAAAAAAAAATAAAATAAATTAAAAATAAACAAATCTCTTCACATGCTCTTGCTTGAAGGACCACTCCACACTTTAAAAAAACAAAAACAAAAAAAAACCTGTTTTTAAAACACATCAGTTTAGTAAATATTCCCCCAAGAATACATGAATATTTTTATACATGTATGTATTGGGGGTATAGTATAAAAGAGATTACAAAAGCTGCAGTTTTTATGACTGCATTCTTTGTAAGCCCTCCCCTTTTTTTACCGGAAGACACTTTCAGTATCTTCACAGGGAAATAACCAATCAGTGGCTCCTCTTTAAGAAGCCTATGACTTGGCCCCAAGCTGATGAACTGGTATGAGGCCTGTGAGGGTTGAGAGGCTGGAACACTCAAGTAGAGCGTGCCTGCTACTTTCGTTAGCTCAGGAGAGAATCCTCCTTGGCTGTTTGACAGCCAGGAGGGAGTTCCCTGGTTAATTTATAAAAGTGATGATTTCTCACAGAAATCAACACTTTTATATACTGGGAATTAAGCTAGGGTAATACACACCCATAAAGCACTGCAGCGAGTGCTTTTGGGGTGTGGAGTGTTCCTTTAAGTATGAAAACCTAAGAGGGATGTAGGGAAACAAAACCTGTGACCTGGCTGACAAAGAAATTAGCTAAGTTAAAGCTGATTTTGCACGCTATGTAAATGCTCTTGCTGCTTCAGTCTCTCTATCACTGTGGCATGTTTCCTTTCTTCTACATGTACTACATACACCTTTCCTCTGTCCCAGACTGTATAACATGAGCTTCTGCCTCCTAGTAAGTAGAGTAGTGGACAAGTGAGTGCTAAGGGACAGTTCTTAGAAAGCATAGAGCGGGTGCATCATAGACGCATTTATGCCAAGCTCAGGGTGCTGTCTGCATGGTATGCCTTTTGCTGGCTAGTCTGCATGATTGGCAGGCAGCCTGACATGCATTTACACCAGGCTGACCTAATTCTTCGAGCAGACTTGGACTCTTTATGGGCATGTTCGCCCCTTTGGGCAGTTCTGGTTAAGTGATTCCCGTCAGTGGCCCAGCCTTTTACTCTGCCCACAGACATCCTGCTTCACCGGACACTGCCGTTAGGGGGTATGGATTTGCAAGATGAAAGCGAGAGGTTAGCATAGGGTATGCGTTTTCTGATTGCTAAATCCTGAGAGTTTCCCTTCAGCAGCACCTCCACCAAATACATGACGCTTGGGAGGTATGACTGTTTTAGTGTTTTCTGTCGATAAGATTCTGTAATTAGGCACATTGTATTTGTCAGCACCAGGCCCAAAAGGCTCTTAATCTGGCCCTGGTAAGAGGTCATAGTGGACATAAAAGTTAAGTAAAAACTAATTTTGAATTTGTAATTCTATTAATCAATGTAATGGTTCTATATTCATGCTTCACATTTAAAGACATTAGACTTTAATTTTGTCCTCTAGTTGATCTAAATAAAAACCAAAAAAATATTCCACAAAACATCCCAAGCAAATATATCTAAAATAGAGGGGTGTCTGATTGTCTTCCTTGCTGTTTTTGTATTCCAATTCCTAGAATTCATTCAGACTTTCAGAGGTATGTATGTATGTATGTATGTATGTATGTATGTGGGTGTATATATCTATCTATCTATCTATCTATCTATCTATCTATCTATCTATCTATCTGTGCCTTTTGTGTAACTAAATAAGAAACTGTCTGCAAACATCTATTTGGTCTGATTTATATTCTCTTTTTCTTTTTTTTTCTTCACGTGAGAGCAAAAATTACAGCCTGAGGTGAACATGTACAGCTCAAACACTATCAGATTTTATTTTTAACATTTCACCTTTGATTACTATGGAACTATGTAGGTCCCTTGTTCTCCACAGCCACATCTCTGCTAGAGCCAGGTACATAGCCTTGGCTTTTGTCCATTTCCATGCAGACTAGTGAGACGTGTAAGCGCTTTTAAACCTAATTACCATGGAAATTAAAACTTGCAGAGTGCCTCTGTTCCCACTGCAAGATATCAAACATGAGCTTCTCATGATTACTTTGAAACAAACCTAACAAAATAACTTGTGTGGCTCGTAAACCGTCTGATTACTCATTCGTTGAAGGAAGGCCTGGGCTCATTTAAGGTTCCAATGGTGGCCTGCAGGTTTTTTTTTTGTTTGTTTGTTTTTTTCCTTTTCTTCTTCCCCCTCTTCCTCTTCTTCCCTTCTTTTTCTCCTCCTCCTCCCCCCGCCCCCTTCTTCTCTCTTCTTTCTCTCTCTCCGTGGGGGAAACATTATGGTATGTACCGATATCCAGTGTAGACTAATTATTATTTTTTTTTTAAGAGCTCCCTCATGCTCTACGTCATGAGTGCCAGAACCATGAGTGAGCGCTTAAAGTGGTCTGCACCTGATATTAGTACAGAACACTATATTCAGCCATTACACACGCAGAAACAGTGCTTAGGGCTTGGGCAATTTTAATCTGGTTCTGCACATAAAATTTCCAAGGGTTTTTCTGCAAAAGCTTTTGATATTGACATTACTTAAACTTAATTTAACAACAAGAGAGACCAAAATCGCAAAGTTGAAAAGAAATCGCCTCACCTTCGATTTTCAACCTCTTAAGGACGGGGGACGTGCTATGCCGTCCTCAGGGACCTGGCTCTAAACGCCGGGGGGGGCAGCATGGCACGTCCTATGTACTTACCCGGTCTCCGGCGATCGCGGTGTGGGGACTCACCTGGGAACCCAGGGAGTCCCCCTCCTTCCTCTTTGGCCCCCCCTGGGCCATGTGATCGCAAGGTCCTTGCATAGTGTATTTTAATATTCATCTTTATATATAATTAGTTATATACATTTAACTAATATCATTGTATGTGTATTTTGATAATATATATTTATATATAATATATGTAAATACATAAAAAAATAAAATTCAAAAAATAATAAATATATATACATGTGTAATTTCGTTCTACCTGTATTTTAAAATTTAATATATAGATATCAAAATACACTTAGAACAAAATAAAATATATATATATATATATATATATATACACGTATATTTCACTATATATACCTATATATAAATAAAAAATAATTTTCAAAAATTATATACACACGTATATATTTATTTAATAATGTTACATAATTAGGTCATTTTATTAATTACAATTTGCAGGCCCTGCCTGACAGCCAAAAGTCCAGGGAATTTAATTTGCTAGCACTATATTTAACCCTGTAACTTTCCAAGACTCCAAACAACCTGTACATGGGTGGGTACTGTTTTATTTGGAAGACTTTGCTGAACACAAATATTAGTGTTTCAAAAGAGTAAAATTTATTACAACGATGATATCGTCAGTGACATTTTTTTGCATTTTTCACACACAAATGGCACTTACACGGATGATATAATTGTTGTAATACGTATTACTGCTTTGAAGCACTAATATTTGTGTTCAGCGAAGTCTCCTGAGTACAACAGTACCCCTCACGTACAGGTTTTATGGTGGTTTCAAAAGTTACAGAGTCAAATATAAGGCTTGCGTTTCAGTTTTTTCACATAGAAATTCGCCAGATTGGTTACGTTGCCTTTGAGATGGTATGGTAGCCCAGGAATGAGAATTAACCCCATGATGGCATACCATTTGCAAAAGTAGACTGTAACCAACCTTGCCACTTAGACAACCTAAGGTAATGCAAATTGGGTATGTCCAGTCTTTTTCAGTAGCCACTTAGCCACAAACACTGGCCAAAATTGGCATTCAAATTAGATGTTTGCATTTTTCACACACAAACAAATAATAACACTAACTTTGGCCAGGGCTACCATACGGTCTCAAAGGCAACGTAACCAATCTGGGGACTGTCAATGTGAAAAAACTGAAAAATTTAACATGCTATATTTCACCCTGTAACTTCCCAAAACACCATAAAACCTGTACATAGGGGGTACTGTTTTACACGTGAGCCATCGCTGAATACAAATATGTGTATTTTATTGCAGTAAAAGCAAACCGTATTATGACATTCCCAGTTAGAATGTCACGTAGAACTAAACATTTTTTTTTTAACGTTTTGTTTTCTCCCATTTTTTAAAATATTTTATTCATATCAAATTGTTTTATACTTAAATATTTGATGTTAAATGAAAGCCCTCTTTCCCCTGAATAAAATGATAAATAATAAGTGTGGGTGCACATAATATGAAAGAGGCGAATTACGCCTGAATAGACATATAGCGCAAATTAAAGTTTTTGTTTGTTTTATTTTGATCACAACGTGTACATTTGGCTCAGTCCTTAAGGGTTTAATTCAAACTCTTATTTTTTGGCCAAAATAAATCTGTTATTATTGCCATTTATATAGCGCCAACAGATTCTGTAGCGCTTTTCAATATTATGAGAGGGGGGATTTAACTATAAATAGGACAATTGCAATAACACTTAACAGAAACAATAGGTTGAAGAGTACCCTGCTCAAACGAGCTTACAGTCTGTAGGAGGTGCGGTATAAAACACATTAGGACAAGAAATAGCAATCAAATAAGTGGGAGTGAAGCAGAGCTGGAGGAGAGAGTAAGGTGCTGCCCCATAGGAGTGAGCAAGAGACAGGTATGTGAGGTAGAGGTTACTCTGGGAGGCCATAAGCTTTACTAAAGAGATGGGTTTTAAGGCACTGCTTAAACGATTGAAGACTAAGGGAGAGTCTGATGGCGGTAGGCAGGCTATTCCATAGTAAGGGAGCTGCCCACGAGAAGCCCTGCAAGCGTGAGTTGGCCATATGGGTGTGAGCAGCAGACAGAAGAAGGTCACAGGCAGAGCAGAGAGACAGAGAAGGGGCATACCTATGGATCTGTTAACTTGCTGTTCAGAGAATAAGATCCCATAATTCCACGCTTGCTTCATATACACATGAGTATACCAAATATGTGACTCTCAACAATTCTTTATTTTTTTTAGAGTGATAAATTGATTCAAATGTTCTGTCTTACCCATACAGACAGAAATACATAGGTTATTTGACAGACATGATTCCTGATGCATGGAATTCCTAATTTGTAAAGCTATATACATTAATGATTATACAAATAACTATTTCAATACTTACTTTTGGCACTCAAATTTAAATGGTACTTGCAAACCTGTTTTGTATTAATTTAGATCCATTGTACTTTTGTGACACTGTAATGCTGTCTTGTTCTAGTAGTTCATTACAAAGTTGTTCTTCTGCGGTAGTGTCCTTGCGTAAGTCTATGGTGTGTGCAATTAAATGTTGGCAGTGGCTTTATTTAAAGACTGAATCTTCATTAATTTTTAGTTGTCAGTTCTTCCTTTCTGAGTTCATTTTGGTGACAGCACTTCATCAACAAATAGTTAAAACCGTAATTGTTAAAGGAACACTAACTTCTAAAGAAATTTTATTTTTAATGTTAGTGTTCTTTTCAAAGTGTAGGATGTAGGTTACTGCCCTCCTATTTAAAAAAATATATATAAAATAAATAAGAAAATGCATAATTAGTTTACTTGTGGTGGTTCTATCAAGACCATGAGCCTCAGCAAATTCATTGAGCGTTTAGAAAAGGAGGGGGGTTGAGAGTTCCTCAAAGGGATTTGGATTATTGGACACATTTGTCAGTGTAAAAACTTTCTAACACCGTACTCTCAGACCTTCTGAAACATCTGTAGGCAGCAGAAGGACTTGACGTGATCCAAAAGCGGCCAGGTACAGCAGTTTGTGGGCTGACTTTCATTCTTTTGTCAATGAAATTACAGAAAATAGCAGTGTGTGTTTGTACATGTAGAGAGTCAAGCAACATCAAACAGAACACAAAAAAAACAACATTTTTTAAAACCTCTGATTTCATAAAATATAACATTAAGGATATCTTGCCTTGTTTAAACTCTTTCCTTTCAGATTTCTGCCATCTAACAGTGAGAACTGAGAGATCTTCAAAGACCACGAAGAGTAGAGAGAGACAGTAGCACACCTCATGCAAATAATACATTCAAAGGGGATTTCAATTGTAAGGCCAGAGTCAGCATAACTGAGAGAGAACTTTTTAAGTTTGGCTATTTTGTCCTTACATTGTATGATGCCCAGCAGTAGATAGATATTCAGTTATGCAATATCCTATAACCACATTTCTGAAACCAAAAGTGACTGAAGCTGTATTTATAGAAAGTGTCTCCTGTAGGATTCATAGCACTCCATAAAGCATTTGATAAGTACTGTGCTTTTCTCTAAAATGCAGGGAAAAAATGAGCTAGATCATGCGAAGACCATAGAGTATATTGAGATTTTACCAAAAATAATTTACAACACCAAACAAAATAATTCTGTAGAAATAGATGAGGAAAAAAATGAATTTCCCATAAAGTTTTATTAAAATCTTGATGAAAGCAATTTGCATGTCAAGTAATGTGTGAGCTCATGAGATAAGTGGCATCACTAAGTGAACTACTGTGAAAGAGATGTTTACAATTAAGCACTAAACACTAAATAAAAATCATTTTAAAAAAAATTGTTTTTATTATATATATATATATATATATATATATATAAAGCAGAAACCTTGGCACTCACCCTTACTGATTCCAAAAGATGATTAATCCTTGCCTGGGTGCAATCCTCAGCGTTTACTATATAACAAAAGCAGTATATAAGGAGCTCTCACTGGTCTTCATCCAAAATCTAATTTATTCTTTGGTGCAAATTACATGTGCAAATTTGAGCAATCGACGTTTCGGCCCTCACAGGGTCTTCTTCAACATCAAGTGTACAGTGAATAAGGTAAATATATATATATATATACCATAATAAATGCTGATAACTTACCAACAGGTGTGTAGGAGAGAAAAAAGACCGCCAGCCATCCGAAACCCGGAAGTGCGCCTAAGCGATCATGTGACCCACGTGATACCAGCATTGCTGAACAATGTGTGAAATCAAATCTATGTATAGCCGGCCGTGTGACAAGTGTATAGGAAAGAGGAGACCACCAGCCGTCCGAAACCCGGAAGAATGTCTAAGCGATCACGTGACTCACGTGATACTGACGTTGCTAAGCAACGTGTGAAACTAAATCTATGTAAAAAAGATATACACACTATAGTGATGTGTAATGATCACCTTATACAGGGATCTACATATAACAAAATACCTATTCTAAGGAGGATGCAGGTATAAATTATCTATAAGACATATAGGAGTCATCAATCTATGTGTAGCCGGCCGTGCACAAGAAACTCGGATGTTATAGATGCAGTGGCTGTGTGACTTGCAGTCATATGACTTCGGCGAACTCATTTGCTCATCCCCACAGTGGGAAAAGAATCACTGTCCCTCATTATATTACATGTACAACAGATCATGTAATTTATCTTATAACATGTCCATGTGGTCTATCCTATGTGGGGAAGACGGATTTAACTTTAAGGGATCGCATTCGTGGACATAGATCTGGCATTATGACGGCTTTTAGGGATCAAAAAACGGACAAGCCAGCGGCTAAACATTTCTTGGCTGCCTCTCATAGACTCCCTACACTTAAATTTGTGGCCATTGATCATGTCCCTCCGTTATCTCGTGGGGGTGACAGATCTAAACACCTGCTCCAAAGAGAAGGGTCCTGGATCTTTAAATTAGACACCGTCACACCTAAAGGCCTCAATGAATACAATACATATTCTATGTTTTTGTAAACCTCACTCTATATTGATTTTGGTAAATTTGATCGGGAGGTTTCTTGCATAAAACCGCTAGTTAGTACACATATGTGAGGACTGTGATGTATTATGTGTATACTTTCTTTATTAAATTTGGAAGTTTATTCAGTTCATTGTATAAGTGACATTATGACATATATTTGAAATTGATTTGGTTCACTGGCATATGACACATTTGTCATAAGGAGACAATTGAACAACCTCTTAATGTGTAGTAGTGTAAATAGAATTGGCCAATATAGGAACTGTGCCTTTAAGATAGACACAGTATTTGTCAGTGCCATATATGTGAACCAAATGGGCATTTATACAGTTAGTATAATTTGTGCATAAATCATTAGTGTACACTCTGTGATTTGATAAATTGGTTAGTATACTTATTGTTGGCATAAAATTGAAATATTCATGGCGTAGTAATATTGATTGGGTGTGTAATGCACACTTAAGATCTATTTGTTACAATATTATCAGATTGTTTCTATATAACAGACCCATTGTGGGTGGGCACTGGTGGATATCGTTCACTGATTTGTGTGTCACATTGTGCTTTCACTTAGTTTTCACGTATTTTCACATTTTTGTAAGGAATCCATAGTGTCTTATTTCCACATTGATGACTTCTATATGTCTTATAGGTAATTTATACCTGCATCCTCCTTAGAATAGGTATTTTGTTATATGTAGATCCCTATATAAGGTGATCATTACACATCACTATAGTGTGCATATCTTTTTTAGTACGACCGACTGTACATAGATTTAGTTTCACACGTTGCTTAGCAACGTCAGTATCACGTGAGTCACGTGATCGCTTAGACATTCTTCCGGGTTTCGGACGGCTGGTGGTCTCCTCTTTCTTATACACTTGTCGCACGGCCGGCTATACATAGATTTGATTTCACACGTTGCTCAGCAACGCTGGTATCACGTGGGTCACATGATCGCTTAGGCGCACTTCCGGGTTTTGGATGGCTGGCGGTCTTTTTTCTCTCCTACACACCTGTTGGTAAGTTATCAGCATTTATTATGGTATATATATACTTACCTTATTCACTGTACATTTGATCTTGAAGAAGACCCTGTGAGGGTCGAAACGTCGATTGCTCAAATTTGCACATGTAATTTGCACCAAAGAATAAATTAGATTTTGGATGAAGACCTGTGAGTGCTCCTTATATACTGCTTTTGATATATATATATATATATATATTTAAATTTTACAAATATATTTATATAATATATTTATTATTTTATTAATTACAATCTGAGGTACCTGCCCGACAACCAAGGCAGAAAGTCCAGAGAATTTGGCTCACAGGCCCTTTATTTAACCCTGTAACTTTCCATGACACCATAAAACCTGTACATGAGGGGTATTGTTTTACTCGGGAGACTTCGCTGAACACAAATATTAGTGTTTAAAAACCGTAATACATATCACAACGATGATATCGTCAGTAAACAATTTTTATTTTTTTTTGCATGTTTCACACACAAACTGTGCTTTCACTGACGATATAATTGTTGTGATACGTTTTACTAGTTTTGATACACCAATATTTGTGTTCAGCGAAGTCTCCCTAGTATAACAGTACCCCCATGTTCAGGTTTTATGGTGTTTTCAAAAGTTACTGAGTCAAATATACGGCTTGAATTTCCTTTTTTCACATTGAAATTTTCCAGATTGTTATGTTGCCTTTGAGACCGTATGGTAGCCCAATAATGAGAATTGCCCCCATGATGGCATACCATTTGCAAAAGTAGACAACCCAAGGTATTGCAAATGGAGTATGTCCAGTCTTTTTTAGTAGCCACTTAGTCACAAACACTGGCCAAAATTAGCTTTCAATTTAGTTTTTATTTTTCTCACACAACTAATATGAATGCTAACTTTGGCCAGTGTTTGTGACTATGTCCTATAATCCCTATAATCCCTGTCCCTCTCTGGTGCTACCTAAGCAGAGATATTCACCGGAGAAAGACGCGAGCTAGCAGGCCCTCTGGAGCTATGCGTCGGCTTCACAGCCGCAGAGTCCCACTGGCTGCCTGAAAAAAAAATAGAAGGAGCTCCTATTCAAACTTGGTTTTCGCCCTTTCTCCCAATAGGCTGGCGCAAGTTAAAGGCTCAGCCTGGAACACCTCCCTCCCCGAGTGCTGATTGGTCAGCTACGATGGAAACTGAGTTTGCGAACCAGGCGCTGCGTGGTTTAGGCACAAAGTTTGAATCTACCGGCCTAGGCCAAGTGATTCTGTGGAACTATTTGCAGGTATGTACAGAGCCTCGAGCCCAGACTTTGTACGATGATTTCTTGGACTCTGTACATGCGATAGCTCCGCAATTTGCAGTGATCATAGCTGGGACCAGGAGCTATTTGGGGATATGTTATGTGTGGGGCTATTATAGGTCTTTGCTATGTTTTTGGGTATTTTTATGCTTTATGTTCTTTATGCACAGTTGTGTTATGGGCGTGCTGTGGGAGTGCTCCAGGGCGGGTTTGACTGTGTCCATGATTTGTATAAATTGGCTGTACCGTGTCCCATTAAATCTATTCCTGTTGTACTCTTCATCAAGTCTTGGCTGATGTTTGGGTAGCTAAGAGCTCTAATCACTGTTTCACTTGGGATTTGGGGAGACTTTTAACGGAAATACCCAGCCGGAGTATAGGGGATCCGTTACACTTCACACTATAGCTTATTTTTGCTAACAATTAAGCTTCAATAATGGATTTGTTACTTTTCGTCCTTTAAAAAAAATGTACTGCTACCATAAATCAACTGAATAATCTGTGTCTAAAAGTTTAACTCATCAAATATTGCTTAAAATAGTATACATTATTTATCTTTCAAGATTTAATTTCTACTTTTTATTTCTAGCAGTAAAATACAATTCTCATTCTTCTAACAGGAAGAGCCCAATAAAGCACGTTGAGCGTGTTGTGGTTCCTCTGCCTCATTCTCCCACTTGTTTCTTACACCTCTTACCTTAGTTGCATTACCTCTCTTACCACATTGCCCCTCTTATGTATTGCTTACTTTTGTTTATCTTGCACTAGTTTTTCATTTCCCTGTGTGTCACATCCACGCTTCAGCAATTGTTTAATGTTCAGCCCTTCTTCAACACCCTCGTTTGTGTAATCTCTTAATCCTTCCTATGCAATACCCTCACACATAACCAGATATTGGTTCATAAACCTGTTACAAACTATAATTACTATATTCACCCAGACAAATGAAATGCATGAATGCGATGCATAAGACAAAAGAAATAATCAAAGTGGTAGGCTTCCTTTGCTATGCCATGTAATCATAAATCGCTCAAAGATTTTGACAATGGGGCATGTATCCTTATGGTGACTATATATCACATTTAACAGGAATGTTTATAACATACTCAATGCTACCCCCCAAAAAATCCCATCTATGTAATTGTTTAATGCGTAAGTATATAGAATCACTTCTTTTTCCTACATTCTTGTTTCTGTAATTATTTAGTGAATTTCCAACATGTGTTCATTATACTGAGACATTCCAATAATGCTCTTTGTGTAAGCTGAATATAGTTGTAACAAAAAGAAAGTAAGTAATTCCGGTAACTTTTGGCTTGGAATAAAGGAATTCGACTGTTCACCTGATGAGCCCATAATTCCGTCAAACTGCAGATTGGCCAAAAACTAACCTCCAAGTCTACTCAGGTCCAGTGATGCCATAGAATCCAGAAACCCAGTCCTATTTTGACCCAGTAATTGTGCAAAGTGACAAGATAGGTTTGCACTAATATCCCTGTCTTAATGTGTGCTATGAATCTCTTACACTGAGCTACGTAGATTGTGTTTGATAAAGTAATGTGCATATAAATAGGGCACAAGTGTTCAGCTGTCTAAGCCTTTCAAAATTGAATCACCATATCAGTGAATCACCATATCTGTTTCATCTGACAGCATTTAAATAGCCTATGTTTGAGAAACACTATTGTATAAAATATGATCATTTAGGCTTCCTTGGTGTTCAAGCAACAAATAACATGAATTTAAGACCAATTGCTGCTATAAATCAAATAAACTCCTGCTGCAACTTGGATTTATTTATTGATTCAATTAAATGTTCAGTGCAGACTCATAAACTCAAAGATGGATTTTTCTTTTTGGTACATTGTTGACTATTTGTATAGTGGTGCTTGCTGTTAATTGCACGTCTAGGGAATAACTTTGAGAACTGGCATACAAATATATTTTCAACAAGCTGAGCTTAGAAAATATATGGTAGAAAATCCATTGGTAAAATGTTTTATCTGCTATTTCACAACTAGATTGTATTTGGCATAGGTATATTAGAGTATAAAAGTGATGTAAATAAGAAATCCAATTAGGGGGTGAAAAATATCAACATTTCATGTCCCCCAAATAAAGTATGTGACAAACTCTTTATAAAGACCTTCATAAATAACTTCTATTGTTAAAAAAGTGAAGTGAAGGTCATTCCTATGTACTAAAGCACTGGGGAAGACTATCCTAATAAAGATTATCTCATACTGTATCAACTTAACACCACAATTCCAGCAGTTACCAAAGGAAGTAAAATACTTGTCACCGTCTCAGAAGAGCCACACACTATGCGGGATTTCAGAATAACCAAATACAAAAATCTGTGAAAGATGGGTCTGAGTATGTTCGAAAATTGTGTTTTTCTGCTCTGTGTAAAAATGGCTACATACTCTTGAAGTTTTTAATTTTTAAATTAACCCTTTAAGGACCAAACTTCTGGAATAAAAGGGAATCATGACATATCACACATGTCATGTGTCCTTAAGGGGTTAAAGGGACAATCTGTAAATTGAGAGTGAAATTTAATGTGCACATCTTCTTCACCAGAAAAGAGAGACTCTGGTTTGAGTTGTTCGAGATTTCTTCTACTCTCCATCAATACACCTCAAGTGCCAGGAACCTACCATCTCCCATTTCCAGTCTAAATTTATGGTTATAAGTAGTTTATGATATTTCAATAATGTATTATTACACATCACTGAGAGGGTAGTGGATGCATGGAATAGCCTTCCAGCTGAAGTGGTAGAGGTTAACACAGTAAAGGAGTTTAAGCATGGTGGGATAGGCATAAGGCTATCCTAACTATAAGATAAGGCCAGGGACTAATGAAAGTATTTAGAAAATTGGGCAGACTAGATGGGCCGAATGGTTCTTATCTGCCGTCACATTCTATGTTTCTATCAGTTTTACGCTTTTAAAAAGTTGGTCATATTTTAATATTAAGTAATAAACATGACTAAAACTAATACCAAAGTACAGAATTAAATAAATCATTTTCAATCTCCTCTTAAAGCTCTTCTGATAAATGATCGAATCTTAACCCAGTTAAATAATTTGCTTTTGAGGCTTTCAAATAGGTTAAACTTGCCCAACTATCACTTATAAAGTGGAGTGAATCCATTTATTTCAAATATTTGGTGGGGAATTAGACAGGAAGCCAGTTGAAGTTTGTTTGTCTGTTTGTTTGTTTGTTTGTTTGTTTGTTTGTTGTGACGAAGTGCCCTTCGCCACTTGGTCCTGGAGAGGCCTGCTTGCCAGCCTCCTCCCATGTGACTATGACTTTTTCATGTATTTGGCTTTAAAGCCCGTAGTCTACCTTCAGACAGACTATTTATGTAGGCTGCTTTATTTATCTTATGTTTTAGTCACCCTGTACTCATTATAGGTGCAGGGTGTGTGTAATGTAATTGTTTATAGTGTGTGTGTGTGTGTGTGTGTGTGTGTGTATGTGTACTTTGAAATGTATTGCCTGCTCTCCTGTACTGCTGAGGTTTGCTACCAACTAGGTGGGTTTGGCTATGGAGCTTGTCTAGTGCCCTCTGTTGGTAGCAACAGCAATATGCACTACCTGAATTGCAAGACTGGTTCATTTGCATATTTGGGTAGATTTGCATATTGCTAACTTCTGCAGGCAGGTGAGATATTTACTGTTAAATATTGTCTCCCCCACCCCTTTAAAAATGTGCCATTGTGTTGTGATAAGTCACTGTGTGTTGCCTGCTATGGTTTGACTGTTTGTGATTTTATTGAGGTTTCACAACAATGTTATTGTGGTGACCCTATGGGTTGGTCCCAAGGGAAATAAAGGTTTAGACAGTTCTTCTTGATCCCTCTAAACGTAGCCTTGTCTTGTTATTGGAGGGAGCTGTTATAATCACACTGGGGCTTGCTATGCTCTGCATACTCTCATGAGCTTGAATCACTTAGCTCTTTTAAGAGCTTGTTCCTGACACGCTCTCCTTGGAGGAGGAATCTTCCCCGCACAGTCCTTGGTGCTGGAGGTTCGTATAGGGTGGAAGGAAGAGGTCTTTCCCACGCGGAAAGCTGATCCAGGGTGGAAGGAAGACGGCGAGACTCCAGTCAAGCTACAGTGATTGCGGAGTCTGCGGTGGTTGTGGTGTCTGCTGTAGTGCTTGGAGTCCTCAGGAAGCACTAGGAGCATCCTTCAACGGAGGTACCCAGTCGGGGTGCCAGGTGATCCGTTACATTGGTGGCAGCACCGGGATGGCGTCCTAGTGCGAGGAAAAGCAGCTCGGAGACACTGGTAACGTTTGGAGTTACAAATTGAGGGCAACGCTAGTATCCGTACAGCGTCCCTGGCTACAGCAGGATGGAATCAGCTAGTTTTCGGACAGCGTTCCATGATGAGGAGGAGGAGGCGGCCACGGACTACAGGGATGCAGACAGAAAGGAACTCTGGTATGATGCCCTGGAAGATGTCCAATGGCGGCGAGGTGAGAGTCTCCCCAGTGATGAGCAGCGGCTACAGAAGCGTGTGGCGATGCGGATGTATCTATTGGGAGAGAAGCCCCTGGATGACAAGACTAGAGACCCTGGTATGGGGAGAGATCTGGCTAGACAACGCATACCAGGCCCTCTGGTGGCATACCGTTCGACTTACCCCCTGGATGGCCGAGCACGACTTACCGGAGGGGGATGATTATGATGGCCCGGGTTTATTATGGGATGCCTTGGAGGACGACATTGATCTTGGCAGCACAGATGGGTCTAGGTTTTGGGACATCTACGACTACCGGATGGGCATGTATGTCTGGGTTGACGAATGCGAGGTGAGCAAAGACATGACCCACCTGGTAACAAGGGAGTGGGAGCTGGAGCAGGACTACCAACACCTGCTCAGCTTCGTGCAGC